CGTGGCAGAAGTTTTGTGAGAAGAATGTTACAGGGCTCAATGCACAAGCCATGATCAAAATCGTCTCATCTCAATAAATCTCTAAAGAAATAAGTATTGTTGTCTCTTTGATTCATGTAAAATACGTTTTTACATGATATAAAAATCTTTCTATTTCTCTGATTTTGTTGGATATTTTTCTCGTAATTCCAATGCTCTCATACTCATTGATTCCTCAAGCTCCATGAACAATCGTCGCTGTAACCTGCTTGTTGTTTCTGGCTCTGTCTGTCATCCACATCGATCATCTTTATGGACTCTCTAGTTTTCCATTCTCGAAGCAATTTTGTAACTGTTTTCATCATTGTTCTTCGATTAGAGTATGCAGAGCTCTTTCAACATCCTCAAATGGTTGTCCAGCATACAACGTTATCTGCCTCTTCTTCACGACAATCACATTCTTCCCACCAGAGCTCACTTCGTCATGAAGGTCCTACAACAACAACAAAAAAAATCAATCTCACTTTCTTTGAGATCAGGTCTATACAATCTGTTTGCTTAAGTCTCTGATCATGAAGAGAAATCCAGGATTCTAAGGAACACTATCCTCTTAAAATAAGTAAATTTCACTGATACTGATGTTAATAAAAGAATGGGCTTATTTACCTTGGTTGATATAGGAACTACATTGGCGCTGAAACCATCTAAGTCTTCAAAAACTGATTTGAGCAGATAAGAGAAATTTCTAGCATCATTTTGATCCTCAAATGCAATTATATGTGAAACTTGATCCCCGTTTTGTTCCATAGATTCTGTCCTCAATGTAAAATATCCCTCAGATATTTCTTCGTCAATATTACTCCGCATAAGAATTCTCTGAAGAGAAGAGAAAAAGATAAGTGCGGTCTCATAATATTTTACAATATTCATACAAAACGGCAAGAACAATGCTCCCATGAGCTAATATACCACTTACCAACACATACGGAAACTTCAGCCACCACATTTTATTCTCTATCCCAGATTGTTTTTCTCCCACTCTTCTCATTGGGTTTCCTTTCTTGACTTCTCCATGTTGGCCTGACAATGACTTCTTACCAAATCCAGAACCAGGTTCCATATTTGGTTTTCCGCCCACTCGATTTCCGAAGTTTCTTGGCTTCTTAACTTCGTTTGATGGGTGCCTTTGCTCAGATTCCTGAGCAGCACCTAAAATATTAAAATCAGCTGAAGATTGCAAGATATTTTATCTTCATGGCTAGTTAGCATCTACTGGATAATTAACCAGCTCATAAGATATTATGCATGATCAACTTCACATGTATCGAAACAATATCAAGTAAAAAATCAATACCTACCTGTTCTTCTCTCTGTCTTAATCTTGTATTCATTGCTAGTTGAATCTAAGGCCGAGTTAATAGATCTATTCAGTATATCCCTAACAGCACCATTTTTTTTTCCTTACAAAGCAACACATATCATCTAGGTAACTTAACAAGATGATGCATAATTATGCACTTATTCTAAACCTACCAGAAATCATCTTGGAATCTGCATTTCCATTTTCTTTTTGCCGTTCTTCACGATTCTTCTCACCATCTCGTGAGTCACTAACGTTCCCATTTTGCCCGGACTTCCCGGTCTCAGACATAACCTCATTGTTTCCCTTACTTACATCAAAGCCTTTCACATTACCTGTCAGCGGTTTCTCGGCTTTAAACTTATACTTCTTCTCAAACATCAAACTCTTTTCATCCTTCAAAACATCATCATTTCTAGATTCATCCAACGGTTCAACACGTAATCCCGCCAATCCTTTTCTCTGCGAATTCAACCGTTTCTCCATGCTAGACAATCTTGCTTCAATCTCCTTCTCAATGTCAATCCCTCCACCAGGATTCAAGGCTTCATCTTCTTCTTTCTTACCACTCTTTTCCTCGCTTTTACGTGCTTCTCGTGCCATCACTCTAATCTCTGCAATTTTCTCATTCATCTCAAGCTCATCTAGCAAACCCACATTGCTCAATTTTACCCCATTTTGCCTTTTTAGATTCAATGAAAGACTCCTACTCGAACTTTCCGGCGTTTTCCCGGAATTTGTTGAGTTTCCCAGAAACAAAACAGCACACACAGTTTGAAAAGCGAATATTCCGATCAAATACAATCCATACTTGGCTACTAACTTCGGAGAGAGCTTACTAAATATGCCACTCACCTCGTTCGACACAACCGAGCTACTATTGACCTGAAGCTCCTCTACACCATCGTTGGAGATAACGTCGCTAGGAGGGAAAATTTCTGGCGATTGGATTCCGATTGAGACGGTTTCCCGAGGTTTCGGATTTAGGGTTCTAAGGATTTTGGGTCGCAGGTAATTTTTCCTTTTCGGAATTGAAACCGAAGAACATCGGATAATTTTGAAGGAGATTCTCCTTCTGGTGGTGTACGACGGAAGTAAAGTCTCCGGAGATATGAGAACGGCGCATCGGAAAGCCGCCATGGCTACGGCGAAGATATTTTCAAAGTCGAAGGTATTAAGGCAACACTGAAAAAACTTAATACCAAATGAACCCCAAAATTTTCAAAATATTCCGTATATTCCTTTTTTAAATTTAAAATGTTCAAAATTGACCCCAATTTGATTTCTAATTAGACGAAATCTTATTTTTGTCTCGATCCGCCTGTTTTGTAGCATCACTCTCACTCTGTGTGGTTCTCTCGTCTTCCACACCATCACTTCCATAGCCACAAGCTTCAGATAAACCCTAACAAAACCCTACAAATCACAAAAAGACCTCTTTTGTCGTTCTTCCTTGTCGAATCTGATTTTCGTTTCTTCACT